TAAATGTCCGAGCACTCGGGGTGGGGGTGGGGTGGGGTGCTCCTGCCCAGCATGTGCGTGGGTCGGGGGCAGCTTTACTCGGGGCTGACTTGTCCTTATTTGACCTCTGACCCCCAGGACCCCAAAGAGAGGCTTGGCTGCCGGCCACAGACTGGATTTTCCGACATCAAGTCCCACGCGTTCTTCCGCAGCATAGACTGGGACCTGGTAAAGCGTCACAGCTCTGTTTACACCTGAGTAGCAGGGACCACGGGCGCCACCATTCCAGGCTAATTTCTTTTTAAAAAAATTTTTGTAGAGATGAGATCTCACTGTGTGGCCCAGGTGGGTCTCGAACTCCTAGGCTCAAGCGACCCTCCCAGAGTGCTGGGAGCACAGGCGTGGGCCACCTGCTCTGTCTCCTTTTCACTTTCTATCAGAAGACACTTCATGCTGACAGAGAATACAGATGATGGGTGAATGAAGGGAACATCTGTCCCCACAGTCCTGCAGGGCGTGGCCCCCCTCACCCAGCCCTCGCCCTGTCCCCAGGGTGCTCTGGCACACACGGGACTCCCCCACTCCTGCCGGCACAGCCCCCTTCCCTCCTCTGCGCCTCCCGGCATCATCTCGACGGCAAACGTGTCCCCTACGCCTGGCGGCGGGAGCTGCTGGTTGTGTGGCCGTAAGACGCCACGTCCCCAACCCCTGCCCAGCCTATTTCCTTTTTCGGGAAGAATTTGTCTATTTCCGTGACACCCGATTTCTTCCACTGATGTCATCAGTAGAATTTGGTTTTTTTACAGGTCTTCAAAAAGGTACAGGGATTTTTTTTTTTTTTTAATATTCCACTCCTGCTGTGGTTTTTGTCACGATTGGTGTCCGTGACCACTCTGGGCCCCACGATGGAGGGGGGAGGCTGGGGGGCAGAGGCGGATTGCGGCCCTGCTCCCCTCCAGGCGGGCTGTAGGCTGGTCCAGCGTCTTATTAGACAGGGACGCTACACGGATGGGGGGTTTCTGAGCCTGGGCTCTCCCGGCTCCCCGAGACAGAAGGCGGCGGCGGCCTCCAGATGACCTGGTGATGTCACAGGAACTAGGCCGCCCCACCAGCGAGGGCACCAGCTCTGAGCTTGGGTTCCTTGCTCCCCAGCCTCACGTGTGGCTGGCACGGAAGGGAGCTGACCGCACGTGACGTCCTTCTGCCCTCTGGCCGCTGGAGTGGTGGCTCCCCGAGGCGGGACGGAGTCTCCCGCTCGCAGACTAGTCTTGGTTCTTAGGAAGGAGCCGGCACAGGATGGCAGCACCCCCTCGGGACGAGAGAGCGAGTGAGCGAGTGAGGAGTGAGTGGGTGGGAGAGTGAGCGTCCTCGTCCCTTAGTGCTGCCGGAACAGGATGCCTGAGCTTGGGCACTTCGTGGGGAGCAGAGGTTTCTTTCTCACTGCTGTGAGCTGGAGTCCAAGGTCAAGGTGCAGGCAGAACTGGCATCTCTGCTCCCAAGGTGGCGCCTGACCGGTGGGCCCTGGGGCATGGGGACAGTGTCTTCACAGGGCAGACGGCAGAGGGGACCCACTCCCAATGCTGTTGCCCTGGGAGTCAGTTTCCAGCCCATGAATTTGGGGGACGCATTCAGACCTGGTCAGCAGATGAGAGGGTACGAGTGGCCGTGTCACCAAGCGTGAGTGGCGGGTGCCCACTGCCCACAGCTGTGCCAGGCAGCCGCGTGTCGGGAACTGAGAAGCCCGTCCCTGCTGCGTCTTGTGCAGAGCAGCACCTAGAGTCACGGAAAGTCGGGGTCTGGTCAGAAACAGGCTGGTCACGGCTTTGACGGGAAGAGGGTCCAGACAGGACGGGGCTCAGCCAGCACCGGCGTGGGCAGGGGCTCATGGCCGAGTCCCAGCGTCTTTTTGATCAGGGACCTGAGCTGTAAAAAGCCCCCGTCGGACTGGTTGAGTGGCAGTGGCCACTCTGGGCCCAGACCCAGGAGGCTTCCGAGGGGGTGGCCGTGGCTCCCGTCCCTCCTGGCTGCGTGGCCGGCACAGCCTGTGCTTTAGGCGATTTTCAGCTCAAGTGGAATTTTTCTGACTCTGGCCATTTTCTAGATTTTTAAGAAAAAGGAATTGGCATCCAAATCCGGGGCAGACTGAAACGCTGTTTCTTCCCATTCGTTCTGTGATTTAAGTACGTTGCAAAAAACCGCGTCTGGTAGAGTTGACGCCTGGCGCTCACTGGTCCCTCTCTTGTTGTTTTCCAAGCTGGAGAAGAAGCAGGCCCTGCCTCCCTTCCAGCCGCAGATTGCGGATGACTACGGGCTGGACAACTTCGACACGCAGTTCACCAGCGAGCCCGTGCAGCTGACCCCGGACGACGAGTGAGTCCCCCGGGCGGGGCCGGGGGGGGGGGGCAGGGCGCCCTGCCCCTTGCTGGGGCACACGCAGGCGGGGCGTCTCGGGCAAGCCCCGTGCAGGCTGCCACGCGTGGCTCTGGTGGAGGGCTCCGTCCTACACGCCAGCGGCAACGCTCACGGGGGACGTGAACCCCAGGCTGCCACTGTCCCCTCTGCTTGCTTTGCCTGCAGGGACGTCATCAAGAGGATCGACCAGTCCGAATTCGAAGGTTTCGAGTACATCAACCCTCTGCTGCTGTCCACCGAGGAGTCCGTGTGAGGTCGCGCGTCTCTGCCGTGGGCACACGCGACTGACCCTGTAACTTTACCCTTAACCACAGCATATGCATGCCAGGCTGGGCACAGGCTCCGTGGGCGGCCAGGGGAAGGACGCTTGCCGCCGAGGCCACGGAGGGCAGCGTCCGGCGGGCACTGCTCGGAGCAGAACAGTCTCTCGCGCCTGGGCCCGGACAGGCCAGCGTAGGGCTGGAGGGATTTGCTTCTTGTGCCTGCGCCTCGGAGGACCCGCGGTGACCCTGTCCGAGGGGCACTGTCACACAACTGTCGAAGGTGCACATTTTCCGCAGAAACAGAACTCAATGCACTGACCTGCTCCGCCAGGAAAGGTAGCGTGTAATGTCCCGAGGAATAAAATGTACCGGTGATGTCGAAGCTTCCCTCTCATGCCTTTTTTCCGTGAGTGGCACCTGCCTGACGTCCCAGACGCAGCCCACGCGTCACGAGGAACCATGCTTGGTGAGCAGTCAGAGTGCCGGGTGGGGGACGGGAGTTTAAGTGCCTACAGGGATACACTGCAATGGAAAATTTTTACAGATTCGGAACATTTTCTAAATCCTGGTAAGTTCCTGTTGTTAGCATTTGAGTATTTTCCTGCCGAGCGTGTGCCCCGCGGCTGTAGTTGGAGGACGCGGTGACGCCGTCTCCGGGTTGGCAGTGCTGGTCCTGGCCAGCTGGTTGGACTCACGAGGGAAAGAGGATCACGATTCTAAGGCGTTGCTCACCAAAGCACCAGTAGACCAAAAAAAGAGAGTAAAACAAAAATTGAAAACTAAATCTGCACAAAATATATTTCTGAAAACACTAAGCAGTGCCTCCATGATGTCTTGTGTTATGTATCAGATTTTTGGAAAATATTTTTATCAGTGACACAACACTGAGAATTAGGAAATTTAAAGAGATACACATATGGCGGACCCCAGCCTCAAAGTAGGAGGTAAATCTGGAACCCCACGGATGTGCTGTGTCTCCCTGAGAAAGCACACCTCCCCTCCCGGCAGTCGAACCTGTCGCCCTCATCCTCTTAGGGGAAGGGACAGCTTGACAAAGCTGAACTGAAGGTTTTCTAGAAAGAGGTCGGTTATTGGGGATTTTTAAGCCCTTAAGTGTCAGGTGTGGCAGGAGCCCTCCTCTGAGCTCCCCAGGGAGAGAGGGCCACGCTGCCTCGTGACACTTATGCGCAAGGCCTGGCGTGTGCATGTGGAAATGCCACGCGCCCCCAGGCTGGCTGCAGAGACCTCAGGCCTCCTTGACTGCAGTGTGGGGCCCAAGGGTCTCGAGGGCAGCTTCACTGCAAACAGCAGCTGGTGGTTTGGGGAGGGGGTGGTGGCAGAAAAATCAAAGCTACGAGGCTGACGCTGTGGTCCTCCCTCCTACCCCCCGGCACTCGGGTTTCTCAGGCTACCGCCACCGCACTGAACAGGACATGGCAGATTCACACCCGGGCCCCGAGGTGCTAGGACAAGAATGCCAAGCGCTGGGCGCTCCTGACCCTTCCTCCCACTGCTGTGCGGGTTTCTGGACCCCCTCCCCACCCCCAGCCTGGGCTTCTGGGGGTGCAGCAGTGCTCACGGCACGGAGATGTCTCAACCAGCACTCCCATGCTGACCAGCGAGAGCTACTCCAGAGACTGCAGTTAGGAACCCGCAGGGCAGGGCCCCCAGAGCCAACTGCCGGGTCTCGCCGGGGTGTCCCAGCCAGGTGTGGGGACACGCAGGTAGCCAGGTGCTGGTCTGAGGGCTGTGGAGTGGGGGCGGGGCTGTGCTGGGACCCCACCGGGAAAGCGTCAACAGGCAAACTGCTTCCCACAAGCCCTCACACCCCACGGGTCTATTCTGGAGCCCTTGACTTGTTACCACGGGAGACCTTTCCCTAGATACCACCTCGCTGCTGACAGCTCGCAGGGCACCAGCCTGGCCGCTCACGTGCAAACTATGGGGCTGACACTGCGCTCACCCCAGGGGACGTGTTTATATACAGAGATTTGTTTTATAACTTAAAGCAAAGGATGGACGAGTGTGGGCTGAACATCAAACCTCTGGCGTTGGCAGACGGCTCTGGTCACGCGTGTGGCAATGGTTCGTGGACACTCTGGGGACTTAACGATTGTAAAGCGGCACCCGCATGCGTGGTTTGTACGGTGCGTCAGCAGAGCCTGGTGAGGGCGGCTCTCCCCCGTGCGTGGTCCTCTCGCCCTAACGGCCACGGGCGTTCGTGTTCTTGCACATTTAATAAAGACTTTAATGAAAATGCTTACGTTGTTATTATCTTTGTTAAAAAAGAGGTGGGGTTTTTTTGTTTGTTTTTATTTTTGTTAAAAAGAGGTTTCAAAGTAAAGGTTTTTGAAGCCATTTTCTTAAACAGACTTTAATTTGTTTAGAGCGGTTTTAGGTTCACAGCAAAGTCGGGTGGAAGGTGCAGTCCGTGCCCGCATGCCCAGGGGTGCGTCTGCCACAGTGGTGACCCTGCACGGACACGTCACGGTCACCGAGACCACGGTTCACGTCGGACGTCACTCGGTGACAGGACTGTGGGCCTGGACGGGGATTTACCACCCTGGCCCCCCGGGAGCTTCACTGTCCTGAAAATGCCGCACCCCACATGGCCGTCCTCCCTCACCCGATGCAGCTCCAGACCTCTCTGCTGTCTCCGCAGTTGGCCTTTTCCAGAGCGACGCGGAGCTGGAACCGTGCGGCGTGTGGCCTTCCCAGGCTGGCTGCCTTCACCAGCAACGCACACGGAGGCGCTTCCTGTCTGCGGCTGCGTGAAGCCGCGTGGGTCAGGAGAATAGGGATTTGGGTATTAACCCTGGGCCCTCACATCAGGCCTGCCTCCCCCGGCTGGTACCCTGACAGACGCTGGTGACAGGCACCCAGGGACGGGCGCCGAGCCGGCCCCAAGCCTGGCTCTGCAAGACCTGCAGGGAACAGCACTGGCAGGAAACCGCCAGAAGACGCGCACTCGCCCACTCCGCACCCCACTGCCAGCTTTGACAGGACAGGGGCTCACCACCGGTGCCCCCGAGACGCCCTGTCTCAGGAGAGGCTGTGTCCGAGTCCCACCAGTCAGCGCTGAGGTCCCAGAGCCCCAGTAGGCATCTGAGTCAGCTCTGTGCTAAAACACGCCGCGTGGACGGAGCTCACCTCACGGTTCTGGTGGGGCCACTTCTGGGCCGGGGACGGTGCCTGCTTGCGCTATCCTCTGAGTGGATGGGAGGGGGCCCTCTGACCCCACCATGAGGTTCCACCCCCGTGACCTGATCTGTCCCAAGGCCCCCAACACCATTGCCTTGGGGTGAGGACTTCCGCACACAAACTTGGGGGCACCGCCACGCCCACGGGGCAGTGACAGTGTCTTCGCCTCCTGGCAAGTGTGTGCAGCTGCACGTGAACAAGAGTTCACTTCCGGAATTAGAATAGCGGTGAGACATGAGCTGTACACGTCTGTCCTCCAAGTTGGGAAAATGCACCGCCCCAAGCCAGTGCCTGTCCACTGAGGGGACCGACCGCATCCGTGGCACGAACGGGTTTCAACTTACCCGCCTGCGACTGTGCCTGTTAGTTTGTTGATCTTACTGCGAAAAATCAGCCCTAATACAAACAGCAGGAGAGCAAAGGAAGCCAGTGTTTCGGTGTCAACACGAAGAGAGACACGACCGACCCGTTTTGACGCGCACCGGGAGCAGGGGCTGTGGCGGGGGAGGGAGGCCGGCCCCGCGTGTCAGGGCGGCTGTGGCCACCCCGGCGCTCACCACGCCACATCTTCAGTGCTTTCTGCCAGGCACTGAGCGAGGTGGCTGTCAATGTCCAGCTGGGTCAACCTGCAGGGAGAGGAGACAGTCACTTGGCCACCCTGAGGAGTGCCAGCTGCAGGAAGGGTACCTCCAGGCCCCAGACCCTGGGTGCTGCTGCTGGACAGGAAGAGAGGGAAGGGGCCAATAGGGGGGTCCATGCCCACTTGAGGGCTGAGGCCCTGGGTGGCAGACCTAGGTGGACAGCAGTCCTGCCACTCAGGACCGAGCCCCGCTATGGACTGGGACTCAACCAACTGAGTGTGAAGCCACTGCTCCGTGATCCTGGGAGGCCCCATGTGGCCCTGCACCTCCCAGGTAGGCACGGCAGTGGCCAGCCAGGCAGGGGCGGCAGGAGGAAACCCAACTGAGACCTGCTGGTCGGCCCCTTGGATGTCAGCACAGGGAGGCACCGTCCAGCCCTGGCCTCCTCCAGCCCCATCAGCAGCCCAAGGAAAGAAGGTTGGGAATGACTGTCCCCAAGCCAGGGCAAGGCAAGGCACACTATAGGCCAGCAGATGGTCAGCTCCTGCCTATGAGCCCCCAGGGATGCTGGGACCAGGTCCAGAGCTATGGGTGGCTGCAGCCCAGATGGTGGGCTCAGACTTTGCTGGAGGCCAAGTGGTCAGCACCCCGTCAGAGTGACAGTCCCCTGCATATCACTGCTGGGTACCCCCGAGCAGCTAGGCCCACCAGGCTGCCAGCAGCAGCCTCCCTGCACCTGCCCGCCAGCCTCTCTCCCTCAGGCTCTGCCGTGCATCCCTGTGACTTGGGCTCCCCACCTGCACAACCTCAAGCCTTCTCCAGGCCACAGCCAGAGGCTCCCCACCTGTGCTGTGGTGCGTGACTCTGACCCTGACGCCTGGCACAGCCCTGCAGCCTTCAGCTGCCCTCTTGGCCTGGGCAGACCCTGCTCAGTGCAGTGTGAAGTCCCCAAGGGCCACTCAGCCCAGCCTTGGAACCGGCCCCTCCCCCTGAATGCTTTCTCCAGGCTGCCAGAAGGTTCTAACATCTGGACCTAGGTCATCTTGTGCAGGGGCTTCCAGGCAGTGTCCCTCAGTGGGGGGGGGGGGGGGCTCGGAGATGCCTCAGGCCTCAACCCACAATAAAAGAGCTTTGTTTCCACCTGACCTGCTTCCTAGCTGGGCTTCTGCCTCCTGGACACATCTGAGCAGAGCGTGGTGGCTCAGCCCAGGACCCGCCAGTGGCTCCTGAGCACGAACGGCCACAGTGCAGCTGACACCTGGCAGCACGAGGGCCTTGAAGCTGTTAAAATCCCAAGGACCAAGCCAGGGCCTCACTGAACCAACAGGGACAGAACCAAGTGCTGGTTTTCGGCAACTTTGTCGACTGGCCTGTCTTCCCCAACTGCCTATGTGACTCACAGCCATCAGAAAACACAACGACATGCGTAAAGACGGCAGCAACTGGACTTTTTTTTTGGAGACAGAGTCTCGCTTTGTTGCCCAGGCTAGAGTGAGTGCCATGGCATCAGCCTAGCTCACAGCAACCTCAAACTCCTGGGCTCAAGCAATCCTGCTGCCTCAGCCTCCCGAGTAGCTGGGACTACAGGCATGGGCCACCATGCCCGGCTCATTTTTTCTATATATATCAGTTGGCCAATTAATTTCTTTCTATCTAGAGTAGAGACGGGGTCTCGCTCTTGCTCAGGCTGGTTTTGAACTCCTGACCTCGAGCAATCCACCCGCCTCGGCCTCCCAGAGTGCTAGGATTACAGGCGTGAGCCACCACACCCGGCCTGGAGATGGGATCTTGCTCTTGCTCAGGCTGGTCTCGAACTCCTGAGCTCAAGCAATCCTCCCGCCTCAGCCTCCCCAGAGTGTTAGAATTATAGGCATGAGCCACCGCGCCTGGCCCAGCAAGTGGACCTCAAAGGGAAAAAGAACAGGTGACAAACACATGGCTTGTCAAATCCAGTATTTATGTGTCTCCTGTCACATCTATGAATAAAGTGTCCTCTAGATGACCTAGGAAATGCTGAGACTTTGAGAAAGGTGAGGTCGTTCTCCTGCACCAAGTCTCCAAGCTCACACTCCGCAGGGCTCTGGGGTGAGCAGGGTCCCCTCTGAGACAAGACAGCAGTGCCAGGCTGTGTCCAGCTGCCATACCAGACATCCCACGGCCTCCTTGCCCCCGGATCCCGGTCTTGACCAATACCCATGTGTGGGTCCCAGGTGCCCTGAGGACATGGGACATGTCATTTCCCCAGCCAGCCACAGCCTCGGGGGTGTGAGTTCTGGCTGAAATACTGGGTCTCCTTTACAATTAAATGGAAGAACATGCTAGAAGATTCCAGGAATGCTGAGATCTGGGCCTGGCTTCACTGACAACTACTTTGGAAAAACGGAGGCACTCTGCCAAGCCTTCACGCAACTGCTCAAAGAGCTCAAAAAGGGAACTTTTTTCCTCTTTAATGTCCCTATTTTTAGACTATCTAGAAACACAAATGACCCAGAGACAAAAGACCCTCTGTGGGAACAGAGGCCTGGCCTGGCGCCCTCACAGTGTCAGGAACCTCAGGGACTTCTGCCGAGAGTGAATTTCTCCCCAGGGTTTCCAGCCCGATCTTCTGTCCTGGTGTCTCCTTTGCTGGGTAAGAGTCATGAAGGATTCACAGGTTTAAAAAACACTCCTGTGACCAGCCAGTGAGCCAGCGTTTGCAGTTTTCAACAATCACAAAGCAAACATCCTCAGGTATGTGCCTGAGGCGCCAGGTCTTGAAACGTTCTGCAAATTCTCAGGTGGTGCGGCAGAGGCTGGGGCCACCGGGAGGCTTGGGGCACTTTGCCCGGGCCCTGGACGTGGCTCCAACCCTCCCACCGAGCCCCACTTATGTGGCTGTGGCTTCACCCACGTGGGACCCCACCTGGGGACACTGCCCCCCCATGTCCCTGAGCTGTCCAGATGTGAGTGCAGACAGGGAGGGCACCCATCCAGACTACTGATTTTACCTCCAACACCCGGCCCTTAAGGGCTTGGTCCCCATAAAATGTCACATTTTGGAGGCACCTGTTTGATGTTAGTCTGGGGAGCTCATCTCTCTGAATAAGCACTGTACCATCTAAATATCTTCCTGTGCAGGTTTTGTGCCACATATTCTGATAACCGATTAGATCTTTTTGTGCTTTTGTCTTGATTTGTTTTTTGTTATCCTCAGCTCTAACTCTGGAATCCACCCTCTTCCCCTTCCCGGGCTGTTTTTGCTCCTATAAGACCAGGGACGCGGCAGAGTTTACGCAGCTGGTCTTCTGGCCACATGGGATCTGCAGCCTACAGCCCATCAGCTCGGCCACCTCGTCAAGAACTGCCAAGTTCACTCAAGCTCTCCTGACTCCTAAGCCCTGTCCTCCGCCATGATTCCAAGCAGGAGCCCACGCAAAGGCTGGGCCCATGGTAACCAACTGGCCCAGCAAGCTCCCAGGCCCACAAGCTGCCAGTCTTTCTAAGCAAAACCGGGTTCTATTCCCCTCTTACTTAAAAATGGTATGAAAATATGTATTGGATTTTAAAAATAAGAAAAAGCATCCCCAGGCAAAAAAGACAAAGTCTTCCTTTTAAAACCTACAAACCACCGCCAGAAAAGGTATTTATGTGGCTATTTAAATAGGAAGCTACAGTGACCCACAGTCTGGCTTGGCATTAGACGCCACCTGGAAAGGCAGGTGGACCCTGGTTAGCGCTCCTTGCCCTCCTGCACTGTCTCGAGCTCTATGCCTGTCCACAGGGCTCCAGTCGGTGGGGAGCAGGTAGACCCCCAAACCTGCGACAGCCAGCCCCCTGCACAAGTGCAGTGACTGTGCTATGCCAACTTTCTATGTGTGAAATTAAACTTTAAAACCCACTCTCTAAGCCTGGGCACGGTGCCGCGCACCTGTAATCCTAGCACTTTGGGAGGCCAAGGCAGAAGGATCACTTGAGCTCAGGTGCTGGAGGTTGCAGTGAACTATGAGGATGCCACTGCACTCTAGCAGACAACAGAGTAAGACCCTGTCTCAAAAAAAAAAAGGTAAATAAAATATTATAAAAGTTATCCTCTCAGTTTTCCAAACTGGGCTGGGGTCACCCAGGACTGGGCAGTAGGGACGGCTTACTCACCCAGGGGCGAACTCCTGCTGGCACATGGGGCAGCTCTGCAGGGCCAGCTGCTCCTCTGCGCTGGGGGTCCCACAGGGTTCGGGCGCCGGGCGTACTTGGGGGGACCTGCTGGGGGACTCCGGGCATCCTCCTGCCCCTTGAAGAGGCCCATAGGAGCGGCCGGGGGCTGCCGGGGCGGGCGGAAAGGGCGTCCAGGAAAATGTCTTGGATCCGACAGTGAAGACTTCAGGGGACTCCGCACACTCTGAGCTGCTCCCGGACGCCTGCAAACCAGGGGGTCATCGGGCCTCGCCCAGCGTCACCACGGCCGCCCCCTGACCCAGAGACAACCCCCCCACCCCGCGAGCGCTGGGGGCGCACCTGGCTGGGACGGGCAGGCAGCGGCGGCTGCTCCACGTCCAGCGTCAGGTCCGGGCTCACCGTGCGCAGCAGCTCGGCCCAGAGCCGCTCATTCTCGCCGCCGCCCCCCTGGAGAAGCCAGGGGCAGCCGCCCTGGGGCCTGCGGACGGGGTGGGGCCTAGATACGACAGACGCCCCTCGGGCAAGGAGGCCAAATTCCCTCGGCCACGCTGCCGCAGCCCAGTGTCCCGATTCCAGCCTTTGGGGAAACTGAGGCCGTGCTTCCTTCCTACCGCGCAGTGGGGGCGGGCGGGAGCCACCTCCGGGCAGAGAGGCGCGGGCAGAGAGGTCAGGCTAGAGCCGGGTCTGCCGGTGCCGCCGCGCCTGCCCACGACACGAGGGCGCGGTTCCTCGGCCCGGAGAGACACCGGAGCGACCGAGTCCAGGTGGCTCCCGGGGGCCTCAGGGGCCTGGGCCAGAGGCCAGGGCGTGGGGGCAGGTAAGGGCCTCTTGCACCCGGTCCCCTCCAGGGCTCCCCGCTCTCCCACCAGGCGCCGCCCAAGTCTGCCACTTGGTGGCAGCAGATGCCCAGGCACCCTGGCAGCTCCGCGCTGTGCCCAGCACCTGGGGCCCAGCCTGCCTCCCCCCGCGCGGGGCCCTGGGGTGCCCCTGCCCTCCCTGGGACCGGGGTCTGCACGGGCGCGGCATCCAGG